GGCATGACATTTTATCAAACCGGATGTGACGCATTAATAAGAACTGATAATAAGAAAAACTTTGAAATGATAGACAGGATACATTTTAATTGTTCACATTTTGACCTGCTTTCACCTTAAGTGAACTCTGAATGTACTTATAGCGACAGAGAGACCACGTATATGCACACATTTTGCAAATTACATTTTCACATTGGATACCGCCATTTGTAGATATATTTTAAAAATAAAAAAACACTAGTTGAAGCTATCAGCCACAGGCAAATGGATTATTATCAGTGATAAAAATAGAACTAAAAATAATAGTAGCTTTATTCAAGATTACTAGCCTAGATTACTAGCACACAAGTTTTCTAGCCGGTCCCAAGCCCGGGTAAAGAGGGAGGGTTGGGGCGTGGTGCTAGCAACTCCACCCCTGTAAAACAACCAAATCGCTACAGAAACTTCAACGAATAAATATATTAAAAATTCTAAAAACATAAGCAATAGCCTTACTTTTCGCTGGAATCGGGGAAGTGAAATGACGCAGGCTGGTGAAAGCTAGCCTTCGGGAAGCCAGTCAGCCGATGTGCCTTCTTTCGATGAAAGCAAAAGTAAGGATGGGTACCTGGAATGTTCGTACAATGTACGAAACTGGAAAGGCTGCCCAGATAGCCGCTGAAATGAGAAGGTACAGAATAGAAGTGTTGGGAATCTGCGAGAGCAGATGGAACGGAACTGGAAGGTGCCAACTACCTACTGGAGAGACAGTAATCTATTCCGGCCACCCAGAGGACAACCACGAGCACACCGAGGGAGTGGCCATCATGATGTCACCAACAGCAACCAAAGCTCTCATGCAGTGGGAACCAATCTCCTCCAGGATAATGACAGCCAGGTTCAACTCAAAAGGAAGGAAAGTTACAGTCATTCAATGTCAATGCTATGCGCCTACAAACGTCTCAGAACAAGAGAAGAAGGAGGCGTTCTACAGACAACTACAAGCAATAATGGACAACGTCCCAAATGGCGATATCAAAATCCTGATGGGCGACATGAATGCGAAGCTGGGAGGAGACAACACAGGAAGAGAACTCACCATGGGTCGTGAGGCCCTCGGCGAAATGAACGACAATGGTGAACTCTTCTCAGACTTCTGCGCCTTCAATGATTTGGTGATTGGCGGTAGTGTGTTCAAACACAAGGATATACACAAGACGACATGGATTTCACCAGATGGAAACACCAAGAACCAAATAGACTTCATCTCAATTTCAAGAAAGTGGAGACGGAGCCTACTGGACACAAGGTCAAGGAGAGGAGCAGATGTGGGTTCAGACCACTATCTAGTACAAGGGACTTTCAAGGTGAAACTAAAAGCCTCGAGGATAGCTGGGGATAGGCCACAATGCAAGTTCAACACTCAATTACTGAAGGACACAACCACAAAAGACACTTCACTGCAACTGTCAGAGCAAAGCAGGAAACACTACGCGACATCACTGAAGAATCATGCGTGGAAGAACATTGGAAGTCTCTGAAGGCGATTCTCAACGAAACGTGTTCAACGGTTCTAGGAAGAAAGAAGAGACAAGACAAGGAATGGCTCTCAACGGACACTTGGAAATTAATAGAGAAGAGGAGAATGGTGAAAGAGAAAATGATTCAATGCAAGGACGGACAGGAGAAGGAGACGCTGAGCTCAACTTACACAGCATTGGACAAAGAAGTGAAGAAGAGTGCTAGGAAGGACAAAAGACGATTCTACGACAACCTGGCCACTGAAGCTGAGAAGGCAGCAGGCAAAAGGGACCTGAGGACACTATATCAGATAACCAAATCTCTATCCGGGAAGAGATCAACACAAGCGAAACCTATAAAAGACAGCCAAGGGAACCCAATTACCAAGGAAGAAAAACAGATTAAACAATGGGCGGATCACTTCAAAGGACTCTTGAACCGACCACCACCTGCAACCCGTCCAGAAATACCAACAACAGCGCGCACACAACTGCAAGTTGACACCAATCCTCCAACGAGAGCTGAAGTCTTGAACGCAATCAACTTCTGAAAGCTGGAAAAGCAGCCGGACCAGATGGAATACCCCCTGAAGCACTGAAAGCGGACCCAGAGACGACAGCAGACATGCTGACTCCATTATTGCAAAAGGTCTGGAAGGAGGGAAAGGTGCCTACTGACTGGAGGAAAGGTTACCTCGTGAAACTACCAAAGAAGGGCGACTTAGGCCTCACTCTGCAAGAACTGGCGAGGAATCATGCTCCTATCGACGCCAAGTAAAATCCTGAGTCGCATCATCCTGGAGAGATTAAAGGACGCACTGGGGACAGAACTCCGACCAGAACAAGCTGGATTCAGGAAAGGCAAATCATGTACTGACCAAATTGCAACTCTACGCATCATCATCATCACAGAACAAAGCATGGAATGGCAATCAAACCTCTACCTCAACTTTATAGACTTTGAGAAGGCCTTCGACAGCGTTGATCGTGAAGTAATTTGGAAACTACTCGAGTACTACGGCGTACCCCAAATATTCATCAACCTTATTCAACAGCTGTACGACAACGGGAGATGTCAAGTGATCCACAACGGAAAAGTCAGCGAGGCGTTTGGAGTAAACACAGGAGTCAGACAAGGGTGCTGCTTATTATCACCAATGATATTCCTAATTGTGGTGGACTGACTGGATTATGCGTCAGACAGTGAGTGGGAAACGAGAAGACAGGGATATCCTGGACCGACCGACGTGAAGAACCTAGAAGACCTGGATTTCGCGCGTGGATGATTTATGTTTGATGTCACACACAATCGAAGACTTACAAGCGAAAACCGACAAACTGGTCGAAGAAGCAGATAGTGAAGACAGGACTCCAGGTGAACATAGACAAGACGGAGGTTATGAAAATAACCAACCAACCAAACAACCAACAACAACAGCAACATCCAGCGCCAATCATTATCAACGGGAGGGATTTGAAAGAGGTTACTTCATTCACTCACTCATATCTAGGGAGCATTGTCTCAACTACAGACACTCGGGACGGACGAGGATGTCAAATCGAGCGAGAATCGGGAAGGCGAGTGAGAAACACATTCATCAGCCTGAAATCAATCTGGAAATATTCGTCACTCAGCCAACATCACCAACAAAATTCGGTCGGATTTTCAATACAAACAGCGTCAAGTCAGTCAGTTCTTCTATACGGATCAGAAACTTGGCGGGTCACAAAGAATATTTCCAAAAGGCTGCAGACCTTTATCAACAACTGTCTTCACTGGCTCTATACTGAAGATCAGATGGCCGGAAAGAATCACCAACAAGGAATTATGGGAACAAACAAAGCAAGAACCAATCGCCCAATAAATATGCAGGAGAAAGTGGAGATGGATCGGACACTCGTGGCTGAGGAGGCCGCCGCTGGGTGACATCGCGCGTTCGTCAGGCCATTCTCGAGTGGAACCCGAAAGGGAAGCGGCGTGTGGGACGTCGCAAGGGTGACATGGAGGAGATCGTGTGAAGAGTTGAGGAGTTGAAACAGTATGGACTTACATGGATGCAGGTGAAAAGTAGAGCAGAAGAAGGAGTAAGCAAGTGGAAGCGTGCAGTTGAAGGCTTATATTCTACTAGGAACCCAAGTGAATGATAAATAATAAATAAATCAGGATTTATCTCCTTCTTTTTGTGAATTTTATTTTAGCTAATTGGGATCTACGGTAGAACCGGTATATTTGACTCTTCACCAACTGATTGATTAAGTTTTGCATCATCCAAAGAATTATATAGACACTTCTGCTTTTATTCTTGACTGTTATCCTTCTTTTGAGACAGATCTTGTTCAGTTCAAAAACAACATCAGAGTGGAAAAATAATTTAAAATCTGCAGCATTCATTTTGACGCTTTCTGGTACAACTATTGTTACTACTAGTTATGTAGTTTATGAGAAATTGACTGATTTGAGGATAATTTTCACCAGGAATTAATGTTGAGTAGTGATATTGGTTTACTAATCTGGTTAAGAAGGATGACTGTGCTTGAAAATGGCAGCTGCACCTCATAAAACCGAGGACACCGATATTGAAATCTAAAGAGCTTGAAGTTCGATGTTCCATCGGAAAGCAAGAAATAAAAAGATATCGGAGGTATCATTTTTATCATAAAGGCATATGCAAAGTTACTCACTTTTCTGCGAATATTGATGATGCAGTAATTTCTGTTTTCAAGACCAGTTAAATAGTAGCTATCATCAGTCTTGAAGTCAGTCAGTAAAATAACTCCATTCCAACTAAATAAGTAAAAACGAATTCCAGGTTGTTAAAATAACTAGTTTTTCGAGCATTGTATGTTCGCCTTTCATACCAGTGGTACATTTTACAAGTAAAGAAGCGTGTTAATCACTGATTTACCACACAAACAATAATCGTTACTCAGAAAAGAAAACAGAAAATAGTCTTTATATGAAGCTATTTTGAGTAGTCTGAATTTTAACAATAATAATAACCAGTGCGTCTTCATTAGTACAATTAGCTTTGGCTGACACTTTATGTGTGGTCACGCTTACCAGTTTTAGCTAGTTACATAACCTGTTATAATAAGTAATAGTCTGCCTGACATCTGTTTTAACACATGTCAGCCTGCATATTTCAGGATACATATGGATCGAAAAACACTTGAATTTATAACTAATGGTGAAAATCATGATCCTTTCATGGTAGTTTACAATACCTATTAAATTTTGCTGCTGTGTAACATAGTATTTCGACTGATTTTGTTGAATCTCTTCCTTACTAACTTGAATCGCTTTGACAAAGAGATACGGCAAGTGTTATCATAACATGTGCAATGAAATATATATATATATATATTATTCACATATGTTTACGATCGATATAATGAAATTAAGTTAATCAATACATTGTCTTCCTCTAATGCCAATTTATAATACGTAAATTTTCTCACTGAACTGTCGCATGATTTGGTCTGTTGAGAAGTAATTTCAAAATGTCACATTATGCTACTGAAACAGCAGTCATTACTATATTGTTGTTTCTTAAAGTTATAGAAAGTGTTAATATTATTTTTACACCAAATGATCCGATTATTTATAAAGATGTGACAAAATACATTCAACTTTGTATTTTAAATACTGATCATCAAATGTACTGTGATCTGGATGAAAAACAAGTTTATGTTAAGTCGGCTTACTGTGAAGTTTATTTTTTCCATGAAGATGGAACCAATTATACACATGTTACTACAATTGAGCATAAAATTGAAACAAGTTTATTGAAAACTCAAGGAGTATATCGGATAGAATGTTACTTGAACAAGGACAAAGGCAATATAGAAGTGGACACTTATACAAACATTTTACTGCTGAATTCCTCTGAACAATATTTAGATTGTTCTTCGAGATCTAAAGTTATTGATGTGAATTACTTAAAGTCTAGATATCCGCTGTGCTGTTATCGTGTTCCAGTGAGAAGTATCTGGTTAAAGCTATTACAACGAAATGTGAATTTATGTCAGCGGTATACATGGAAGGGTGATGTAGTCGATGTTTACAGTGAACTGAAGTGTTTCACTACAATCAGTCAGATTTCAGTATATGAAGATTATATGTACATAGATGAGCGGTTAGCAAAAATATTACCAACAAGTGTTACAGTTGGATGTGAAAAAGAATCATATAAGGAGATTATTTATTTCATCGGTAAGTAATAAATACTAATTGTATGTATTTTACAGTAAATTACTCATAATCTATCATGTTATTAGTAAAACTGGCTGTGAAATTCACTGTGAATGATCACAAACAAAACCACACTCTTTAGGTTGATGGGAAATTACAATAATGTTATTTGCTATGTTTGTTACGGGTTGAGATAGTCTTAAGTTATGAAATCTGGTCTGAGATTTTACATTGCTGCTTTTCTCACTGTTTGTAAATCAAAAGATCCCTTACAGTTTCATTTTGCAGTAATCATCATTTTGTTTACCTCATTTGTAAGTAAAATAAATGAGATTTTTAATTTCTGTTTCTAACTGATAATTTCTTTTCGCTAGCAGACGTTTATCTGTTAATTTAATTGCTGAGGGTATATTTTCCACAAGCCTTTTAAGATAACTACCATGCAGGACAACAAGGAGGTTAAAATTTACTACGTCGATGAGCTTGTAACTATAGACGTTCAAAAATAAATGTAGCATGAGGCGGTACAGTGAATTCATTAAAACGGTTGAATTGGATTTTGAACATGCAGAAGCGTTATCGAATCTATTTTCCAATATTGGATGAACTATGTCTTATAATTTCTGTTGTATGTTTCACTCTCTAAAGTCCTGTTCTGCCGTATATTTTAATTTATTGATAATCCCGACAAACATTATGGCTGAAGCATTTCTCGATCAATTAGTAAGTTAAATACTGTTTTCGTCAGGAATTAGAATTGGATATTATATATAGGAAAAAGTTGCCAATGAAGACGTTGGATGATGTCGATAATTAATGAAGTTTTTGTTCAATCATCTGAAAAATTTAAACCTCTTGACTAGAGTTTTTTTGATGAACTTCATTGATGCACTGTTAAAATTACAATGATGTGATGCTAAACTGACTGGGGATGATACAGCTGAGTCAGTCGTAAATTCAGACATATTTCGAAGACGTTGTCGTCAAAACCACTTTCTTTCCTGTTTGTCGTGTAACTTTTTCGCTTCTACGAATAGTATTGTTTTCGTTTTCCACACTTTTTTCCTTTCGTTAACCTCTTTCTAGATATGCTTAGGTGGACACTGCAGCTGTTACTGATCTTCAGCAATCTTGGGTCCTGTGTCGTATATTCATGTTGTATTCATGCATGTATCAGTTGGAATAATATTTATGACCAAAGGATACCATAAGATTGCCTCAGTTAGCCAATACCTATGTCTGTTAATAAGTTTGACTAAGGATTTTATTACATTCAATAGATTTCAAGGTTAGGAATAAAAATAAGTAGATTTCTTTTGAAGGATTAGGTGAATCAAAGATGTATGAAACTGATTGACTGTTTATGATGACGACAGTGTTGCATGCGCAGCTGGTGCACTTTTGACCTCTTAATTATTTACAAACGTTTGCCCACTAATATTTTCCCTGTTCCATCTTTTCAGGTTCTAAAAGATGTGTAGTTAATTTTCCGACAAGAAAATATTTCACGTGAAATATTCAAGGGTTCAACCCATTTACCATTCAGCCGCAACTCATAAACCGTTTTCGTACATCTTGGAAGTCCCACACTAAGATGAAAAAGTTGTTCTGGTTTTCAGTTATTTTCTAAGTGAGGTCGTTTTGTTAAATAACTTGTAAAATATGTAAACAGCAATTATACCACCTCTTGACATTAACATAAGTCTGTAGCGTGAATGGGTGCACGAAGAAAAAGAAAGCACCTCAGTATCTTTCTCATTGTATTAATTGTTTGTGTCTTTACCATCACATCAAATTTCTGCTTCTTCTCCTTTATTTCAATGTAGCTTTACTTTGGTTATACATAGTTCTTTGTTGTTCTGCTATCATGTCAAACTAACATAGAGCTGCAGATATAGTAATGTCATATCCACTCCATTAAAGGCGACATAACAAGCCATTTCATTACTCTTAAGTCTGTATGGAGGTCAACAGCACTCACCATCAAAACGAGTATAGGATCCGGATTTTCAACTCCAATGTGAAGTCAGTCAGTGCTACTATACGGATCAGAGACTTGGCCAGCGCGCCATAAAGAGCATCTCAAACAAACTTCAGACCTTCATTAACAGTTGTCTTCACTCAATGCTCAAGATCAGATGGTTGGTCAGAAAAGATCAGCAACAGGGATCTCTGACAATGAGCGAACCAACCAGGAACTAATTGTGAAACAAATAGGCAGGAAGAAATGGAGATGGATTGGCCATACTCTGAGGAAACTATCAAGTGACATCACTAGACAAGCCATTGCTCCAGTGGAACCAGGCCGAAAGGGAAGCGGCGAGTTGGTCGTCAGTGCGAGGGTGGGGTGACTTGGAGGAGGTCATGTGAAGGGGAGATGAAAGCATGTGGACAGACTTGGAGCGGGTTGAAAAAGTTGGCAGAAAACCGAAGGCAATGGAGACGCGCAGCTGAAGCCCTATGTTCCTCTAGGAATTAAAGGATAAAATAAAAAATATATAATAAAAAAATAACAAGCCATTCTCTTTAATGAATGAATCAGTTACCACAAAAGGGCTTCACACTTAAAAGTGATACTGATATATCCTATGAAAATATGAATAGAGTATGGGGAAAACCAGTTTTCCTGGTTCAGAGGTTATCATAGTTGTAATAAAAATCCACAAAGTATGTTAGACATCTTCCTTTGAATAAATTTCATAAATAATCTTCACTCAATTATTCTCTACTCTGCTTAGATGTCAATTTATTGTAGTATCATTCTGTTTCTTCTCCCAAATGTATTTGTGGTTTTCTGAAGTGTGCAAACTGAATTGATGGGCTTATGTGCAAAGTTCCACTCTGACCCGTATTCATTTGTTGGCCGAAAGATATGATTTATCATTTTACGGAACAATGTTTAGACGCCAGGCTCAATGGTTCAGCTGCAAGTAACGGGTCATCTACACACACACCTGTTCACAGTGTCACTTCTTGTGATAGCTTTATGTATGTAATGGAAATGTCCGAGTTTCGGGCTTATATATATATATATCACATGACATGCATTTATCATAATTTTCAGTGTTCTTTTTCCCTTTTTTGCAAATTTCAACTATTGTTTCATTTAGTGTAAAGTTGCAGCCATCTATACGAATTCTCTATTCAGATATAGGGGATAGGATTAAAATTGTTTGAATTGCTTAATAAAGAGTCGTCAGTAGGGTGATGGAACGATACTCGATTGAACCTTCTCCTAAAGCAGTTTCTTAAGCTGTGCATAACTTAGCTCTCAAATAATTTGTCTACGCCACTAACGAGTGAGAAGAACGTAACTGACAAATATAGCTATCTGTATAGTCAGTTTTATCTCACCAGTAACATTACGGTTTCACAATGAAAAATTCTTGCACCCTGGTTAACAATGAACTAATAAAATATCAGTGACGTAAACATAGGTCAAGTTTAGAAGCATTGACCAGAAGTATTTATTACTGTTGATCCTAAAAAGGATTCATTTCATAGTGGATATCCTCTGCTTTTGTGAAATCATGATTCCATTTCACTCATTTTTGTGCTTTGGAATAGATGTAGAAATCTACTTCAAATTACTAGTTGGGAGATGAGCTCTCTATTTACAGTGAAAAGTATTTGCGAAGACTCTATACAGTGTTTCGCCTTATAAAAAGCGATGCACATTGTATTAAATTTAGGATGTGATTCATTAAAAAACTATAAAGCTTTTCATGGCTTTCAATTCTTGAATATACCTCAGACAGTAGTATTCTTTCAGAGAGTTCTATTATGTTTAGCCTTTGCCTAATATATATATTTATTTAGGTATTTCATCATGACCACGCCAGACAATGGCTTGCTAGGCTACTAGCTTACTAGTTTTCTCGCCGGTCCCAAGCCCGGGTAAAGAGGGAGGGTTGGGGCGTGGTGCTAGCAACTCCACCCCTGTAAAACAACCAAATCGCTACAGAAACTTCAACGAATAAATATATTAAAAATTCTAAAAACATAAACAATAGCCTTACTTTTCGCTGGAATCGGGGAAGTGAAATGACGCAGGCTGGTGAAAGCTAGCCTTCGGGAAGCCAGTCAGCCGATGTGCCTTCTTTCGATGAAAGCAAAAGTAAGGATGGGTACCTGGAATGTTCGTACAATGTACGAAACTGGAAAGGCTGCCCAGATAGCCGCTGAAATGAGAAGGTACAGAATAGAAGTGTTGGGAATCTGCGAGAGCAGATGGAACGGAACTGGAAGGTGCCAACTACCTACTGGAGAGACAGTAATCTATTCCGGCCACCCAGAGGACAACCACGAGCACACCGAGGGAGTGGCCATCATGATGTCACCAACAGCAACCAAAGCTCTCATGCAGTGGGAACCAATCTCCTCCAGGATAATGACAGCCAGGTTCAACTCAAAAGGAAGGAAAGTTACAGTCATTCAATGCTATGCGCCTACAAACGTCTCAGAACAAGAGAAGAAGGAGGCGTTCTACAGACAACTACAAGCAATAATGGACAACGTCCCAAATGGCGATATCAAAATCCTGATGGGCGACATGAATGCGAAGCTGGGAGGAGACAACACAGGAAGAGAACTCACCATGGGTCGTGAGGCCCTCGGCGAAATGAACGACAATGGTGAACTCTTCTCAGACTTCTGCGCCTTCAATGATTTGGTGATTGGCGGTAGTGTGTTCAAACACAAGGATATACACAAGACGACATGGATTTCACCAGATGGAAACACCAAGAACCAAATAGACTTCATCTCAATTTCAAGAAAGTGGAGACGGAGCCTACTGGACACAAGGTCAAGGAGAGGAGCAGATGTGGGTTCAGACCACTATCTAGTACAAGGGACTTTCAAGGTGAAACTAAAAGCCTCGAGGATAGCTGGGGATAGGCCACAATGCAAGTTCAACACTCAATTACTGAAGGACACAACCACAAAAGACACTTTCACTGCAACTGTCAGAGCAAAGCAGGAAACACTACGCGACATCACTGAAGAATCATGCGTGGAAGAACATTGGAAGTCTCTGAAGGCGATTCTCAACGAAACGTGTTCAACGGTTCTAGGAAGAAAGAAGAGACAAGACAAGGAATGGCTCTCAACGGACACTTGGAAATTAATAGAGAAGAGGAGAATGGTGAAAGAGAAAATGATTCAATGCAAGGACGGACAGGAGAAGGAGACGCTGAGCTCAACTTACACAGCATTGGACAAAGAAGTGAAGAAGAGTGCTAGGAAGGACAAAAGACGATTCTACGACAACCTGGCCACTGAAGCTGAGAAGGCAGCAGGCAAAAGGGACCTGAGGACACTATATCAGATAACCAAATCTCTATCCGGGAAGAGATCAACACAAGCGAAACCTATAAAAGACAGCCAAGGGAACCCAATTACCAAGGAAGAAAAACAGATTAAACAATGGGCGGATCACTTCAAAGGACTCTTGAACCGACCACCACCTGCAACCCGTCCAGAAATACCAACAACAGCGCGCACACAACTGCAAGTTGACACCAATCCTCCAACGAGAGCTGAAGTCTTGAACGCAATCAAGCTTCTGAAAGCTGGAAAAGCAGCCGGACCAGATGGAATACCCCCTGAAGCACTGAAAGCGGACCCAGAGACTACAGCAAACATGCTGACTCCATTATTGCAAAAGGTCTGGAAGGAGGGAAAGGTGCCTACTGACTGGAGGAAAGGTTACCTCGTGAAACTACCAAAGAAGGGAGACTTAGGACTCTGCAAGAACTGGCGAGGAATCATGCTCCTATCGACGCCAAGTAAAATCCTGAGTCGCATCATCCTGGAGAGATTAAAGGACGCACTGGAGACACAACTCCGACCAGAACAAGCTGGATTCAGGAAAGTCAAATCATGTACTGACCAAATTGCAACTCTACGCATCATCATCACAGAACAAAGCATGGAATGGCATCAATCAAATCTCTACCTCAACTTTATAGACTTTGAGAAGGCCTTCGACAGCAGCGTTGATCGTGAAGTAATTTGGAAACTACTCGAGTACTACGGCGTACCCCAAATATTCATCAACCTTATTCAACAGCTGTACGACAACGGGAGATGTCAAGTGATCCACAACGGAAAACTCAGCGAGGCGAGGCGTTTGGAGTAAACACAGGAGTCAGACAAGGGTGCTTATTATCACCAATGATATTCCTAATTGTGGTGGACTGACTGGATTATGCGTCAGACAGTGAGTGGGAAACGAGAAGACAGGGATATCCTGGACCGACCGACGTGAAGAACCTAGAAGACCTGGATTTCGCGCGTGGATGATTTATGTTTGATGTCACTGTCACACAATCGAAGACTTACAAGCGAAAACCGACAAACTGGTCGAAGAAGCAGATAGTGAAGACAGGACTCCAGGTGAACATAGACAAGACGGAGGTTATGAAAATAACCAACCAACCAAACAACAACAACAACAGCAACATCCAGCGCCAATCACCATCAACGGGAGGGATTTGAAAGAGGTTACTTCATTCACTCACTCACTATCTAGGGAGCATTGTCTCAACTACAGACACTCAGGACGGACGAGGATGTCAAATCGAGCGAGAATCGGGAAGGCGAGAAACACATTCATCAGCCTGAAATCAATCTGGAAATATTCGTCACTCAGCCAACATCACCAACAAAATTCGGTCGGATTTTCAATACAAACAGCGTCAAGTCAGTCAGTTCTTCTATACGGATCAGAAACTTGGTGGGCGGGTCACAAAGAATATTTCCAAAAGGCTGCAGACCTTTATCAACAACTGTCTTCACTGGCTCTATACTGAAGATCAGATGGCCGGAAAGAATCACCAACAAGGAATTATGGGAACAAACAAAGCAAGAACCAATCGCCCAATAAATATGCAGGAGAAAGTGGAGATGGATCGGACACTCGTGGCTGAGGAGGCCGCCGCTGGGTGACATCGCGCGCCAAGCCCTCGAGTGGAACCCGAAAGGGAAGCGGCGTGTGGGACGTCCAAGGGTGACATGGAGGAGATCGTGTGAAGAGGAGTTGAAAGAATATGGATTAACATGGATGCAGGCGAAAAGTGTAGCAGAAGACAGAAGAAAATGGAGACTTGGAGTTGAAGCCCTATGTTCCACTAGGAACCCAAGGGAGCAATAAATAATAATAAATAATATATTTCATCATTCTATGCAATGAGGCTGATATCTCATTATGAATGAACACATTTGATCAGTAAGAAAATTTAAACCTAGTTTCTGCAACTGACTATTAATATTAAATATCAGACACAGTACTGAGTTATTCATTCCCATTAACTGTGATAATAACATGGTGTGGTCAGCTTGAGTGGTTATCTTCTAGCAATCAGTAACTGGTATCTAATAGTACGGTTAAATAGTGCATGAATAATAATAATAATAATGAGTTTATGTTAGTATATCTAACCATCTTTTATTATTTTTTCTTACTTCTGTTTGATGATTAGATCCTCCTAAGCAAACACTTGTTATTCATTCTGAACCACCGGGTCAAATTCTGTTCTTGCATTCACATAACTTTATAAATTTCTGTTTTTCTTGGACTGATGATACGCTATGCACCAATCCATTTCCACAAGAAAACTTGGTTCAGTGTTCTTTTCAAAAAGACTATCAATTTTCGCAGGAAGCTGATGAGTATTTCAAAGTGATCCACTTCAATAACAGGTTTGAGTTAGTCAATATCAAAGATGGAGCTTATCTGTTCACTTGTTTGCATAAGCCAACAAATATCCAAAATGTCTTTCATAAATTTATTTTCAAATACCCCAGGTACAGACTGAACTGTAGTATGTCACCCAACGTTTTGTACATTAATTCTATTAACCTGAAAAATATCACATTTTGTGAATGGAAGCTATCTCCATTATCTACTGAATGGAGTTCAATTTTACAAGCTCATAATTTGCTGGAAAAAAATTTCACATGTTATTCAAAACCTGACAACTTAAAGTTTCACCGTGGATTATTGTTAACCACAAAGTCAAATTTGACCGCTGGTTTGTATAGTGTTCACTGTTTGGGTACATTTGTGACAAAAAACGTAATTGTAGCCGGTAGGTGTATGGTTTTCGAAGTAAAATAAATCTAAATTTTGTGCTAATTAATGTTTAATTCTTTATTCTGAAACTTCTCTTCAGCTGCAGACGGCCTAAAATATACTTTTAGATCAACAAAATAAGAACACACATTTAAGTTACTGGGCAGAAATTAGGCATGAAAATAGCAGTATAAGGAAATGCGAATGAGTAAAATGTGACGGCATAATCATTAGGAATGGTATGAAAACAGACTTGTTACTTATCATAAGTTTGGAAGATATCAGAAGTCTTGATAAGTGGCTTAACAACGAAACATTAATTAAACAGTAATACACAAGAAAAAAGATTATGCTATAATATGCAAGAAAAAATTTAGAAGGGGGTTTAAATCAGTCCAGTGAGTTAAAATTAGTAGTGTCAGAATAATAATAATAATAATAATAATAATAGAAAAAAAGATGCAAAATTACGCAATAGGTTGTGTAATTATTACCAAAGTAAACTGAGCGTAATCACTGTTTCTTTACATATTCATACGTTGGGTTTGAGTCGCGTGGTAGTAATAGATTCAGCAATCCTAATAAAGTTGAATTTCTTAGCTTGTTCTTAATAGTAAATGCAGTTGGAATATACGCTTTAATTCCGATTCCAGTGGATGTCAAATAACCCTGGTTTTTTGGGAGAGTTTTAGGAGAAACCTGTAAATGATTATTTTTATGTCATTCCTACTTATCGTATGGTTACTGTGAGTTAACCAGATGTTTCCTTGGTAGCAGTACAAAATCTGAGAGACCGAATTCGAGGAGACTTTGCTACATCTTATAAAACAAAGAAAGATATGCAACACTCAACATCGCTTGTGGAGATCAGAGATTGTCATTACTTCAAGTGACAATTGTCTATAAGTTCAAGTTGGCCTAATTCTTGGTACTCATTTCACAGTCAGAAATGGGAGTCAGGTGATCGACTTATTCACACATTGAGACTGGCAATGTATGGTGGCTGAGTGATTCGCATTTAAGGGGCACCTGAATTATTTCTTGAAGTGTTGCATCAGTCCCACCTGAAAAGTTGTGAAAGTCACATCCTTCTCATAGATTGTTTCAACATTTTCCGTACATCAGCATATGGTTAAAAAAATGCACTAAATGCGCCTTTACAACTGACTCAGCCTTCCTACTTCAGGACTGAAATCTCCTGATAATAAAACTGCAAAAAAGATTTTTACTTTATGAAGAAAACTAAACTACTACTGATGACATTCATCCACTATGTTGTCTATACTGTAGATACTTGGTGTGTTAGCAGAGATTTCAATAGGATGTCGACTAGCATCGCAGTATTTCCTTAAAAATCTATTCATTTGGTGACTGACATTGGTGATCTTGCCGCTTTTTAAACCAGTACTATTCCCATTCAAAGGATCTCGTAATCCAGATACTAGCTTGCTAGGCTACTAGCTTACTAGTTTTCTCGCCGGTCCCAAGCCCGGGTAAAGAGGGAGGGTTGGGGCGTGGTGCTAGCAACTCCACCCCTGTAAAACAACCAAATCGCTACAGAAACTTCAACGAATAAATATATTAAAAATTCTAAAAACATAAGCAATAGCCTTACTTTTCGCTGGAATCGGGGAAGTGAAATGACGCAGGCTGGTGAAAGCTAGCCTTCGGGAAGCCAGTCAGCCGATGTGCCTTCTTTCGATGAAAGCAAAAGTAAGGATGGGTACCTGGAATGTTCGTACAATGTACGAAACTGGAAAGGCTGCCCAGATAGCCGCTGAAATGAGAAGGTACAGAATAGAAGTGTTGGGAATCTGCGAGAGCAGATGGAACGGAACTGGAAGGTGCCAACTACCTACTGGAGAGACAGTAATCTATTCCGGTAACCCAGAGGACAACCACGAGCACACCGAGGGAGTGGCCATCATGATGTCACCAACAGCAACCAAAGCTCTCATGCAGTGGGAACCAATCTCCTCCAGGATAATGACAGCCAGGTTCAACTCAAAAGGAAGGAAAGTTACAGTCATTCAATGTCCTATGCGCCTACAAACGTCTCAGAACAAGAGAAGAAGGAGGCGTTCTACAGACAACTACAAGCAATAATGGACAACGTCCCAAATGGCGATATCAAAATCCTGATGGGCGACATGAATGCGAAGCTGGGAGGAGACAACACAGGAAGAGAACTCACCATGGGTCGTGAGGCCCTCGGCGAAATGAACGACAATGGTGAACTCTTCTCAGACTTCTGCGCCTTCAATGATTTGGTGATTGGCGGTAGTGTGTTCAAACACAAGGATATACACAAGACGACATGGATTTCACCAGATGGAAACACCAAGAACCAAATAGACTTCATCTCAATTTCAAGAAAGTGGAGACGGAGCCTACTGGACACAAGGTCAAGGAGAGGAGCAGATGTGGGTTCAGACCACTATCTAGTACAAGGGACTTTCAAGGTGAAACTAAAAGCCTCGAGGATAGCTGGGGATAGGCCACAATGCAAGTTCAACACTCAATTACTGAAGGACACAACCACAAAAGACACTCTCACTGCAACTGTCAGAGCAAAGCAGGAAACACTACGCGACATCACTGAAGAATCATGCGTGGAAGAACATTGGAAGTCTCTGAAGGCGATTCTCAACGAAACGTGTTCAACGGTTCTAGGAAGAAAGAAGAGACAAGACAAGGAATGGCTCTCAACGGACACTTGGAAATTAATAGAAGAGAGGAGAATGGTGAAAGAGAAAATGATTCAATGCAAGGACGGACAGGAGAAGGAGACGCTGAGCTCAACTTACACAGCATTGGACAAAGAAGTGAAGAAGAGTGCTAGGAAGGACAAAAGACGATTCTACGACAACCTGGCCACTGAAGCTGAGAAGGCAGCAGGCAAAAGGGACCTGAGGACACTATATCAGATAACCAAATCTCTATCCGGGAAGAGATCAACACAAGCGAAACCTATAAAAGACAGCCAAGGGAACCCAATTACCAAGGAAGAAAAACAGATTAAACAATGGGCGGATCACTTCAAAGGACTCTTGAACCGACCATCACCTGCAACCCGTCCAGAAATACCAACAACAGCGCGCACACAACTGCAAGTTGACACCAATCCTCCAACGAGAGCTGAAGTCTTGAACGCAATCAAGCTTCTGAAAGCTGGAAAAGCAGCCGGACCAGATGGAATACCCCCTGAAGCACTGAAAGCGGACCCAGAGACGACAGCAGACATGCTGACTCCATTATTGCAAAAGGTCTGGAAGGAGGGAAAGGTGCCTACTGACTGGAGGAAAGGTTACCTCGTGAAACTACCAAAGAAGGGCGACTTAGGTCACTCTGCAAGAACTGGCGAGGAATCATGCTCCTATCGACGCCAAGTAAAATCCTGAGTCGCATCATCCTGGAGAGAATAAAGGACGCACTGGAGACAGAACTCCGACCAGAACAAGCTGGATTCAGGAAAGGCAAATCATGTACTGACCAAATTGCAACTCTACGCATCATCATCATCACAGAACAAAGCATGGAATGGCAATCAAACCTCTACCTCAACTTTATAGACTTTGAGAAGGCCTTCGACAGCAGCGTTGATCGTGAAGTAATTTGGAAACTACTCGAGTACTACGGCGTACCCCAAATATTCATCAACCTTATTCAACAGCTGTACGACAACGGGAGATGTCAAGTGATCCACAACGGAAAACTCAGCGAGGCGTTTGGAGTAAACACAGGAGTCAGACAAGGGTGCTCTTATTATCACCAATGATATTCCTAATTGTGGTGGACTGACTGGATTATGCGTCAGACAGTGAGTGGGAAACGAGAAGACAGGGATATCCTGGACCGACCGACGTGAAGAACCTAGAAGACCTGGATTTCGCGCGTGGATGATTTATGTTTGATGTCACACACAATCGAAGACTTACAAGCGAAAACCGACAAACTGGTCGAAGAAGCAGATAGTGAAGACAGGACTCCAGGTGAACATAGACAAGACGGAGGTTATGAAAATAACCAACCAACCAACAACCAACAACAACAGCAACATCCAGCGCCAATCATTATCAACGGGAGGGATTTGAAAGAGGTTACTTCATTCACTCACTCATATCTAGGGAGCATTGTCTCAACTACAGACACTCGGGACGGACGAGGATGTCAAATCGAGCGAGAATCGGGAAGGCGAGAAACACATTCATCAGCCTGAAATCAATCTGGAAATCTTCGTCACTCAGCCAACATCACCAACAAAATTCGGTCGGATTTTCAATACAAACAGCGTCAAGTCAGTCAGTTCTTCTATACGGATCAGAAACTTGGCGGGTCACAAAGAATATTTCCAAAAGGCTGCAGACCTTTATCAACAACTGTCTTCACTGGCTCTATACTGAAGATCAGATGGCCGGAAAGAATCACCAACAAGGAATTATGGGAACAAACAAAGCAAGAACCAATCGCCCAATAAATATGCAGGAGAAAGTGGAGATGGATCGGACACTCGCTGAGGAGACCGCTGGGTGACATCGCGCGCCAAGCCCTCGAGTGGAACCCGAAAGGGAAGCGGCGAGTGGGACGTCAGTGCAAGGGTGACATGGAGGAGATCGTGTGAAGAGGAGTTGAAAGAATATGGATTAACATGGATGCAGGCGAAAAGTGTAGCAGAAGACAGAAGAAAATGGAGACGTGCAGTTGAAGCCCTATGTTCCACTAGGAACCCAAGGGAGCAATAATCATAATAAACAATCCAGTATTGTTGCTGGAGGAAAAAACCTTTTCGTATATATGTATTTCACAGCCACAGCTTTATCCGATGACTGAGATGTAGAATTTTGGCCTGTGAGGCCTACCAGTCAATTTGACATAATTTCCGGACATTGGAATCTCCAATGTGAAAGTCTTAGTGTATTTCTAACAGACTGAAAATAGTGTTATTCTCACCTGATTCATTGACAGTAGCCAATGAGTTTAGAGAAAGCGGATATATCTTATGAGAAAACAGTATTAGAACTGTAAGGAGGTGGAGTTTTAGACAAGTAATTAGGTGATAAAGATTAGCAATTAGTGTTTTTATGGTTGTGTACGTGGCTGCCAACATTGTTGAGTTTCATTTTTTCTCACAGTATCTCAAAGGGATGATGAGAAGGCCTTGAGACCGAGCATGTTTGGCATTTTTTAGAAGTGATGGAATTTGTTTGTGGGCATAGGGTAAGACATTTTATATTTTGAGGTGTTCTTTAACCGATACTGGCCTATAAAAGAACTCCTTTGAAAAAAGTCAGCTTTTTATCTAGCAGATCCAATCGACGAATACCTTTTATTACACGTAAAATTAAATGTAATTAATTTAAACGCTAACTTTATAGTCAGTCAGCTCTCACACAGCTTGACCGTCAAAATAAAATCCATTAGTTTAACTGATCTTATTTCTTAGCAGGCTATATAAGAAGTCCTTAAATTCTCAGTTTTGTTCAGCTACAATTTGCCTAAAGGTGAACCACACATCGCATAGTTCAAACTTTGCTACTGGTTATTTTTTTTCCTCATTTCCATTCGCTTAATTTTCTTTACTGTTATTTATTTTCTCTCATTAAATATTAATTTTATGATAATAAAAACACTATCTTCTTTTTAGAAAAACCCAATGATTTCATCATTGATATCTATCCACAAGAAATAGTTATCAATGCATCATATTCAGGGTTGATCCAAGCAAAACTTCACTGGTTCAATGCAACAGAAGCAGTGGAGTTTCTAATTAATCAACTGTTTCCAGTTATATGTGAAATAAATTATCCAGAAATGTCTAACTGGCCTAAGTGGAATTTTACATATTTTACTCATTATGCATTGCTTCCACACAAAGGTTTATTGCACATTAACTGCCAGTCAACCATATTTTCGCTAGAGCAGACATTCATTAAAATTATTTCTGCTGTTAACCATTCAAGAAGCTCGTGTCCGTTATCATCGGAATTGTTGTCTATGTCAGACAATTTATTGGAAGCTGAGAGCTGTTCAGGGTTATATTTAAAACAGTTGAGAAATCTCAGACAAAATACAGAAGACGAACAAAGATATAAGAGACGTAAATATGGAATGATCGCATCACAAGTAAGCGTATCAGACTCGCCCAAGGAAAAATCAAACTGTATAACTGGCACAGTGGATTATATCACCTCAGGTGATCTAGTGAAGATCACACTGAGGGAATCAAAAGAAGGAAATGAATTTTGTGATAAGAATATAAAGCAAGGGACTTACATTTTTCATGTTTTAAGTAAGTGACAGGTGCATAACTACAGCATATTGTAATTCCTAATACTTATTTAGTGTTTTCTAAACGTGTTATATGTTAGATGAAATCTGAGCATTCCTTGGTAATTCGAGAATTATAATCTCCACAGTTCGTTGTGACTTCTGTATACTACAGTAAGACAGTCAGTTTTCCAGTTTGGTCTATACTTGCTGTTTACTGAGTAAATGCTGAAACCTAAATTTTTCAGTTATTCCAATGCTTTAGTTCTGACCATTAAACAGATCGTCCTAGTTTGGGACTCTTCATCAGTATGCACCCATCGGGGTTCGAACCCAGGACCTCCTTTTTTGATTGCAGCTTGATTCCTCACAGCACCTTTGCTTTAGGAGATGTAAGGAATTTTCAACATGTGATATCGGTAGCCCAAATTTCGCAGGCCAACCACTGGTACCGGGTGTGCGTCGGCAGGAGATCGAACCTCGGACCATATTCATGGTTGGCGAGAGTCCTTCTGGTTACAAGGCGAGCTCGTAGACCATTGAGCCACTGGGACCCTATCCAATGGCCAGCCTATGAATTCTAACTTCTGCCAATTCACGACATAGCGCGACCATTTTCGCATTGTCTTCTTCGATCAGTTACTGCCTCATCTTCAACCTGCTGTAGCCCACTGGTCACGGCTTCCCACTAGAACACCAGGTTAACTTCCTGATATCAGCTCATGATGAAATCCTCCAGGCAACCAAACAAATTCCCTACAAAACCAATGCTTGAGAATATTTAAAAAAAGAGTTCTAAAGTATTGAACTGAATGTATATGTAACACAGATTGTTTTTGGAAAAAAGTGTCTTGCTAGTTTCATTAATTATTGTCTGACTAAAAATAATACTACCCACTGACCGAAGTAGATGCAGATGGATCATGATCTGGAAGTCACTGGTTGAAAGTCACCTGCTAAGATCGGTGAGCCAATCTCCACGTGTTTTCCTTTGATAAAGTTATTGCAATTATATAGTACCTTTGTTAAGCACAGTACATGCGTGAAAACGCATTCCATTTATTGTGTACAACACTTATATTCTAAAACAAGGCCACAACAACAAATTCAGCAGGTTGATACAATATCACTTTTATTTTAAAAGTTTTCATCACCTTCATACATCTGAAAATGATTTTAATGTTGACATACAGGAAAACGTTCACAAACTTTAATTAATCAACTTAGAGAAAATTGTTTTCGCATAAGTGAATACTTAAGGCTTTCTTTGATGAAAAAACCAATCTAAACGATAATGTATATTACAGACATTTTATAGGTAAACACAAGATGACACTAAATTACTGTGTTAAATTTAGTTTAATTTAGAAGTAATCTATCTTCCTAAACTCACCCTAAAGGTGGTAGTGGTAAGAGAGATTAAATATACAATTAAGTCATTAAAGAGGATCTACCCAGCTCCTAAGTTATTTGCTTTAACTGAAACAATCTAAAGGTGAAAAGTCCTACTTTGATGTTACTCTCAAATTTATGGATCAGTTTATGTGTGCATGACAAACCACATAGATCAGGTGAACGGAAAGAAGGGTTTTCTACCATTTGTCTTAGCATATCTGAAGGAATTTATTATTAAAAGATTTAGCAAGTTTTAGTAAACAGAAATCATGAAATTAACGTAACCATTAAACGACCATCACCACCCTGATTATCTAATTGAATATGTTAAAAAATCGTAACCTCTGTTGTTCAGATGTCGACTTGATCTTGTAGAGAGAATAGTTTCTCATACACTAAGTTACAGTGTGAGTTATTTGTCTTTATCTAAGATAAATCTACAGTTTGACAAAATTCTTAACATTTTCCTCCATTTATACTATGTTTGGATTATCAGCTTTCTTTTATTCGTAATCTTATCTAAACGTCTCTCTAATCCCTAAAAATAAATTGAGCACTGAATTGATGAGTTATATGTATCTTAGAAACTACCGCAAAGCACACGACAGAACTTCTTATCACTATCTTCGTAGTTATGTTTCATCTGAATCCCGCGTATACACATGTTAACTGCAGGCGTATTTTATTTTTGATTACAGCTTGATTCCACACTGTATTTTTAGTACAAGTATGGAATTTTCAGCATGGATATCGGAAGCCCAAATTTTGCAGGCCGACCATAGATATCAGGTGTGCGTCAGCAGAGGATCGAACCTCGAACCATGTGCATGGTCGGCGAGAGTCCTAACCACTGTGCCACCGACGCACAAACACATTACCGAATTCTAAATTAAATGTCAGAATGTGCAATACTTTATTTTATTTAACTATGAGTTACTAATGAAAATGAACATACGTGTTTACGTTTTTAAGTTCCATCTCATTAGGCTGTATAACAAATCGGAATTAGTATGACTGAAATCGTTGGAATTTACTAAATTTTTCCCCCGAATTAAAATTAGCGCTTACATCGGCCACTTTTATTCACCTAAAACTGTTTTGGAGCAAATGCAAGCATTTATCAATAAATGGTAATCCATATTGGTAGCACCCGAAATATCATGTTTCATATTTATTATTATTCCTCTGGGTTCTTAGGGGAGCATATGGCTTCATTGGCACATCATTTCTGTTGTCTGTAGTCCTTTAAGGCTGGCTGTACGACTGCCTATAACTTATCATTTCTTCCTGAAACACTCTTCCCCTGAGACACCCAAACATGTCGTTTCGCATTCGGGTTCCACTCAAGGGCTCAGCACATAGTGTCACTCAGCAGTCTACTAAGCTTGAGTTCAATCTATCTCCATTTATTTCTGCATATTCGTTGGGTGATAGATTATTGGTTGGTTTTTTTTGCCAAATTTCCTTGTTGCTTATCCTATTCAGCCATCTGACTTTCATTATGGAATTAAGAGATCTGTTGATGGAAATCGAAGGACTGTTGGAAATGCTTTTCGCGATGCGCACACATAGTCTCTGCATTATACAAAAGAAGTGACTAACTTGACACTATCGTTGAAAATTCGGAAGTTGTTTCTTGTACTGAGTGCAGTAATTTACTGATTCAGAGTAATGAAAGTTTGTCTTGCTTCTCCAATCCTGGCTGATACTGATATCCTTATTCATGCTGCCTATCTGTAGTTGAAACAAGGCTATCTAGATAAGTGATTTGATGGTAACTGATACTTATTTTTGGTTGAGGACTGGTAGATTATAGCTAATTCATCCAATATTCCTTCCCTTGTTTATCTATACTAATGATCTTGATTAATTTTTGCTTATAATTTCTCTAATTGTACTCTTTTTGTTCACCGTTACAAAAAGGTAATAAATTGAAAATAGGCGTCTTTCCCGAACAAGAATATTATATTTCTGGTATAAATCCCTCAATTGAACTGTTTTTGACAAATCCAAATGCTCCCAGAATCGAGGTGGACATACTACGTGAGATACCCATTAGCTGTGCTTGTGTTGAAGGTACTGGTTGCATTGAAACTGGGGAAGAATATCTGAGATCAGAGAGTGGAGTGGTGAATCTAAATATTTCAAGTGGTTATCACTTCTCAGATAAGTACACCTTTGTCTGCACATTCAGTAACAAAACGTATAATACATCGCTTACAATTATCAGTAAGCTCATAAATTTATTTTTTCAAACATTTGATAAAGTTTACCATAATTTTTGTTTGAGTTTAGACATGACTACTCATATTCGTATGCTCTGTGTTATCAGGTATGCTGTAACCTACTAGAAAGTTTTAAATTTTCCCCTAATACCATTATGTGGGATATATATATATATATATATATATATTCCTTATACCAAAATTAACAAACTGTTATGTACTGCTGATGAGTGAGTTATTAGAGTTTTCCCCGTCGCCAATTTTGTTATGTACTCGTCGATTAGTTAATAGTCCTGACGCGGAAAGAGGAAAATCAGAAGGCCACCAGGTTTACGATGATACTTGTATTTTCCAGACAAGGAAAATAATTGTCACACAAGAGTGTGAGTGAAATGGTACGTAGTGTACGAAAAGTTGTGTGAACAAGAAACAGTACAAAAGTATATATGAAAATGACTAATACGCATGAACCAATAAGATAACGTCTTACCATGATTGGTTGTAATGTCATGTGATAACAAGGTCATACATTGTTTATTTAGTTAGTGGAGAGACAAAAGCATATTGTCAGTTATAATGGAATATCGATCCATATACACAGCAAAATATAACAGACAGTCAAAAACAAAACACACATCATGTGGATACATATCACAAACTCTGTCATAAACATAGTTAAGTTAAATCAGTGGTACGGACAACTTTCCTTCAAGGTTGTTTTGATTTCTACAGAAAAGAGACTAACAGGATGGTGAGTATGTTAACTAGGTATTGAAAAAGGACCATGTTTATTAAACAGCCTTTGGTTTTTATTTTGAGCAACGAATTCGCCAAGCATTATCATTTTCATGCATTGATATTTTGACTACTCTGGTGACAATATTCTACTTGTTTTAATAAACCCAAAATCTTTACTTTTGGAACAAAATGCATACCTTAGGTACTTAATCCGTGAATCATAATGCCTTGGAATTAATCTTGTGAATATAACACCAATGAAAAATCTTAGTCAATAAATTTCCACATACTTTTGTGTGTATATTTTTTGAAATTTGAAACATAAATTTTAAAATTTATGGGAATTCAATGAATTAAAAACATGTTATTTGGGTTACCTAGACACACTGTTACAAATAAAATCTTGCAGCATTGTCACTGAGTAACTTTGTCAAACGTGATTTTATGAATACGTGAAAAGCATGTTGCACAAGTGTGTTATTCAAGACTGGAGGCCTTAAAGCAATAAGAAAAATGCAAAGAATTTTTTAAAACAGTTAAGTGATATAAGTTATTCTAAACATCATATCTGTCCGACGGGGTAAGCTTCTGATCATTGAATCCATATACTATTGCTTCCATTTAGCGTCATATTTCTGGGGGTATTGTTGATTAGGTGAGTGGAATAAATCCAAAGGTATTATAAAACATTATGATGCCTTTAAAGGAAACCTAAGGAAGTGACACACAACCTTCATGATGGTAATAGTAGAAAAATCAAGAATAAGTGGAGCTTAGAATTTGTGGGTAATTTAGTCGAGTCCCAGTGGCTGAACGGTCTATGAGCTCAAGTCGTAACCTGAAAGTCCTGGGTTCCAAATCTAGTGGACGCGTATTGCCAATGAGTCCCAAACTAGGACGGAAAGGACGTCAGTAGTCCCTGATATTCTTTGGTTTTCTAACTGATATCAGTCCATGGTTTTGGATTTGGTCTTGGATTTTCAATCCATCCTTTTTTTCAATTTTTCCATAGATAAAGATGATGTAAAATTGGTGATTTCGGGGACAAATAAAATATTCCATCTTCTAGGTGAAACGCACACATACTCATGTGCTGTGAGATTTATTTATAAAGGCCTATATGAATTTAACCATCCTAAACCTGTGTGGATTGATTTAAAAAACATGGGTAGTGAAGTACTCGGAACAGATGACATTAAAGTCTCACAAAGTAATGCAGGATGGCACTATTATGCATGTGAATTTAGCAGCTACGGTCTTATTGTTAAGGAGTTTCTTCACTTTATTGTATTTGGTAAGTTGAGCTATGTTTGTAGCCACTGTTGAAATTTTGTCTTCGTTTAATTGGTATCATAAGAGAAATTACCTGTTTGGGAATGCAACAGTAATTCTTTGAAATAGGTACGTACAAGATAAATGGATAAGACTGATGATATGAGATACGTCACTAAACTATTAAAACAGAAGTTGTTGAATCAATTAGAATTTGGACACATTTCTTCCAATGTATGTGAATAGCGTAGCAACATGTTTTATACTGTCAGGCAATAAGTATTGATATGATAGATTCGAATTAGTTGATCTAATGCGAATCATTCTCTAAATGGGTGGATTTCAGAAGCCAGAATCTAATCACTGAATCCAGTGATGCCCATATCATTATATTAAATATCCTAGTCTGATAAATAAAAACCTACACCACAGACTGTCTTGTTTAAACTCCTGATCGTCAGTCAGTTAGTGACAAACGGCAAACCAACCAATGACTATCCTTTCAGCCAGATAAATAGGTCTCTTTTTTTTACCAAAAGTGTATTTTTAGTGGTGATTAGGCATAATAAAACCATGGAATGAATGATATTAAGATTATATTCCCAGTAAACCGTGTAGCTGTAGTTATGCATCGGCCGGTTGAAAAATTTCTTAGGCTAAATTTATCAGCTACTTTCTTCACTAAGCAGTTTTAGCTGACGGCAAAACTGATTTTCTAGGCTAAGAGATGCTAAAATACCTACGAAGTAATTGATAACCAGTATGAGCCATTCATCGGAGTGTAAGTTGTCCGATCGAAATCAATGACTGAAGACTTTAGACGAACTGAATCCAAAAGAATTACTATGGCTTAGATTTATTCATATCTGCAAAAACTGTTTGGTCAAAACTGATGCCTTCCTTCTTATTATGTGCACTTCACGATTATTGTCATTTGTTTGTACTTCTGTTCCTTCCTTCTATGTATATTTTGATGAATAATGGCGAACCTGACTCATAGAAATCAGTCTGCACCAAAGAAAGGAGTAGACACTTCACGCCAGTTACTGGTGTCCAATCAAAGTATTCACTACAGTCCTACAGAAGATCAATCGCGAGCCCAAATAGCTCAGTGATAACGTCTCTGACTGCAGCGCTGGGTGACGCGGGTTCTAATCTCAGAAGGAACATGAGTTCCTTCAAGGTTGCAGATACGCCTAGCTGACTTGTGAGTGGCAACTAGCACGAAGCCTAGGTCTAAAGCTTTCTGCCGATTGCCTCCAAACATCTAATATCACCAAAATTTGCATTTTATGTTTGGTTCTACCTTAGTCTGTTTTTGTTATGAAGGTAAAAAAAGACAATATTTTTAGGGATGAGTTGCAAGTCCCGGTTTGACTACTGAATAAGTAAATACTGTAGGTTGACCGAAAAAATTGATTCGCTACAGTGTGGCTTTTGTATTCTATTTTCATATTTTGAGCAAGTCGATTAAGTAAACACATTTGAGCTTTTTTGTTTGAATATAACTATTATTACTCGTAAAAGTCTGAACTTTAAGTTGATAGTGTGATTAACGCTTAAAGTTTATTCATTGTCTTGTACACCAGCTTGATTACTTTGTGCAAAACAGTTTCAATGAGTCTAGACCACTTATTTTTATTATAGGAAAAATTTAAGCCACATATAGTGTAATTTATTACAAATGGTTTTTGAAAAGAGAACTCCGCAATACTTAATTTGTGAGATTCATGCAAATAGTGGAAAATATTTCACATGAGGATGTGAACAAATCCTAATGCATTTGGATAACTGGATTATGTCACTGATGACTTGATCAAAAGAGATAATTATTGAGGAAGACTACTAATTTTGTTAATTTCTTTTTGGCTATTGCAAATGCAAAAAGCAATCACCATTTCACTTAATATATTGATAAAACAAGTTGATTTAAATGACAACTCTCTTTTCTGCATCATATTTATAGATATAAGTAAACATTCATTGACTGTTGAAGAAGGTGGGTTGAAAGTTACTTTTACATGGTTGACACAGCAAACACAGTTAGATGTCATGCTGGTGACATTGGCTATCAGCATTTGGAGATACCGTATTGGATATTACTGTCGGGGAATATTACTTATAAAATATCGAACAGATCAAACATTTTACAGAAAAGTTCAGTAATCAGTTTACATGATAAAAGTTTCTTTTACGGAACTTTTCAATGTAAATTAAAAATTCAAAATGTATGCTTAACTAGAATTGTTTTATTTGTGAAGTTAAGTAAGTCACATAATAGTTATATATATATATATATATATATATATATGTTCATCGGTAGTCTTCTTGTAAATTGACTACTAAATGTATGTTAAAACCTAGGCCTATTCATGTGTATAAAGACTACTGCAAGAAGCATTCAAATGAGTTACCTCGTCTAAATCAATATCTTTATTCATTTTAATAAGTTAGTTACAAGGTTTACAACTTATTCGTTTAAATACGTTAGTGTTAGATAGTAAGATAACTGATGTAAGCACCAAATGGTGTTAATCAGTCATCTCGTGGGCATTTGGCAGACTTCAAATTAGATTTTACCATTAATACGTCCTCCATCAGTCGGGAGACCAAAAAGGTTGCACTGTGCAGATGACTTTATTGTTTTCAATAGTGACAACAATCTGTAATAGAAACTGCTTTGGTGTATACTGTGCTGTCAATTCACCAAATTCACTGCCGACGCACACCTGATATCTATGGTCGGCCTGCAAAATTTGGGCTACCGATATCCATGCTGAAAATTCCATACTTGTACCAAAAATACGGTGTGGAATCAAGATGTAAATCAAAAATCAAAAAAATAATAAAATTTTGTTTTTGAAAATTGTTTATTATTTAGTCATTTGGTTTAACTGCTGGCTTTGTCAAGCGCCTCCACTAATTTTGTAAGGTTTTTTTAACATACTAATTATCTTCTCAGAATTATTAGTGCTGAGAATAGTCTGTAATACTGCTTTGATGCTAGAGTCACTTGAACTGCAGGTCAGTTTATACGTGTGTAAATTTCACTACTTTAGATATTGATCCGGTTTGATTTTTAAATTGATCGTCTGTCTAGTCACGTAGGATTATCAGCTAAATAGAATTCGAATGTACTTTAATACTCCAACAAAATACCTGATCCAAGCATTCCGTACTCACATGAAGTTCACCAGTTCAGGTTCATTTCAAGTTACTGAACTTGGGAGCAACACACATTATTCAAATATTTTAGTGATTGTTAGGGAATCCCTTAGTCTGAAATTTTTTCATTTAAGTCGTCGTTTCTGGTGCAAATTGGAAAGGTTTTAAATTCCACTTTCGAAATAGCTAAAATATACTTCAATATACTAAGAATAAAGCTTATAATTAATGTAAACTTTGGATATGGAACTGGAAACTTTTTTGTTGATTCCTATATGGTGTCTTCGGAGTATTTCGAGCACCTTTTTGGTCAAGCTACCTGCACTATTTATCTTTTTATGACTATAAACGATAATTCGTGTTCAATGCCACTCAGTAAACAATCATTTACCATACTCCTCCACAGTACCTAATTTTTTAACCAAAATACTTCCAGAGGGCTTCCACTTTACAATTAAGTAGGATAATAACTTAATACGTGTGTCGTATGTTCCTGGTAATTCGTTGATTGACTTACTTTATTTGTCAAGGCATATGTATTCAATATGTTTCAGAGAAATCAGAAGAGTGCAGAGCTTTATATGGAATAACATCTGCTCAGGTGAATACAATTCATCGTAGCATAGTTAACAGGAAGATAAGAAACACTGATACCTAACAGACTCGCATAAAAAATGTTAATTTGCAGTACTGAAATGCTCACAGTTTATAACGTAACAAAGGATAAATACATTTGTACCACTGCTAGAAATTTTCGGTTATACTGCTGAGAATAATCAGAAACTGATTATTAGCATTCTAGCCAAACGATTTACAGTCGTCCTTGTGGCTGATACTAACAGTCAGTATCTCCATAGATTAATTCTAGGCTATCGGGCGAACACTGCGAAGTACTCTTCGACCTGTTCCTAATTCACTTAATGCCGCATGCAGGAGAAGGAAGTTCCTCAACATATACATCACATTCCATAACCAAATCAATCGGTTATCTTATTGACTTCAGCACTCAACCCACCTAACATCATACCCAACTTCACTATGACATGATTCATGATTCCACTTTACCAGTGAAAGTTAAATAAAATACCATTCAACCCACCGTGGTCAGATTAAAGTTCTTACATAATTTTGCTTCTTTTTATTATGTTTACTATTAATATTGTTATTACTACTATTATTATACTGTCATTATTAACCCCCCATCCATATTTTATTACCATTCTATTACTGTTTATTAAACTTTGCGTTTTCATACAGATTTTATATAAAAACACTTAATCATCTTTCCACTAGTTCCTGTCCATTCCTCACGAGCTTACTGATTAGTCATTATCTCACACTTATTGCGTCATGCCACTTTCTGCCTACTTTCTAATCTCTAATTAGTCATCCCATCTAGGTAACACCTTACATTACGCAATACATTTTTCGAGGACAAATTTTACCAGTATCTGATTGGTCTAATGATTTTCTTCGCTGTTTACCTCTTTTTCTTTTGACTCAATATGGGAATATTTCTTTCAAAATACCTGTAACTGAAAGCTTTTATCCTTTTTAAGCACGATCTCTGGTGGCAATTTCCTGCAGCTTTAAAGTAGGACGGAGATTATTAGTACACAGTAAAAATATCTTTAAGTGGATAGCAGTATATCATGCCTACGCTAGAAATGATACGTGTCTTCAAATTTCAAACAAACTGTTGACCTTCATAGTGAGATTCTGCTGCAAATCAGTCCACTGACCTGACTTTTATTTCAACCTGTGGAACAGTCAACACATCTAACCACGTCATTCTCTAATTTTAGTCACCTAATGTCAGTCATACAGAATAATCTCACATGTGGTTCAGTCGACCTGAATGTTAAATATGCTCAGAGATTTACTCAGCGTGTGCTCAGAAGACTCTGCATTTTGTCAGTCTCTTTACTCGGAAGAACGGTATCGTCTGGATGCTATAACTCAACCAGATGTTTTCCTGGAATCAGGAGGAATTACAAGAAACTGAATTCGAGGAGGAATTTCTTCATCTAACAAAACAAAGAAAGATCTCTGACACTGAATACTGTTTGTGGAAACCAGTGGTTGTTGTTACTTCACGTGATAACCATTAGTAGTTCCTTAGGCGGATGGATGATTTCGGGTGGAATGTTTTGAGCAGTATTATACACTTTCTTGATACTTCTTTGACATGATCGACAGTATCGAAAAAGACCGTTATGTTAACAAAGTATAGTAAGTGTCAAATGCCCATAAGTGTGTTTATGCTGCAGAACTTGTCGAACTGTGAAGATTTTATTAAAAAAACACTCGACTGAGTGTAAAAAAAATGTCTTCTATTCCTAATGCCATGTTTCTTTACTTTCATTAGTCTTTGTATGAAAACAGATCCTGGTATATTAAATGATGTACTAGTTAGTCAAGCCAAACCCATTCTGAATAACGTACGAATGTTCATTTTCCTTGTTATGGGCTGGTATGAACAACACTGGTTTGATCGAACTATTTTGGATTTCTATACACAAGCCAATACTTTAGTTGATTAAGTCAATAAAACATCATCAATGTTTTCAAATCAATCTGGAGGCATTCCATCAGGTCCGAGTATCTTACCTCATTTTAGATCATACATAAGCCTTGCCATTTAAACTACAGCTGGAGAACCAATGCACACACCCTATTCAGGCATCAGATGTGATCCAAATGGATTGATGATGTAGGCCAAACCAAATGTTCTTCTATATGTTTTGTAGAGCACAGCTTGATTCCACACCGTATTTTTGGTACAGATATCGAATTTCCAGCATGTGATATCGGTAGCCCAAATTTTGCAGGCCAACAGACGATCGAACTCCGGACTGTGTGCATGATCGGCGAGAGCACTAACCACTGTGCCACCAACGCACACAGATAGTTAACAGTTAACACAGTTAACAGATTCTCGCCTCTCTCAGACATCATATCATTTTTCATAGGTTTCTAAGGTATTTTTTTCTTAGTTAGGCTAAATAGTTGACCAGTATTATTTACTGCTGATGCTTTTTCCACTCTTTCATTTTCATCGCACACCACGTTTAGCAGTCATCATAAAAGGATTTGTCAGCATACATTTGAGCAGCGTTTACTCACCATGCTTGAAGCATACTGGGATTAATATCATCGTATCTGTCATTTCGAATATAGCTGCAGAAACCTACTAGTATTTACTAACCTTTTGTCAGGATCGTTAACATTTTTTATTCCTGCATCTACAGCAGGCTAGATAATGATGATTACTGTAACGGTCAGACAGGTGTTTGTTGAATCATATGTCTACATAAAACTTGAAGAGAATAAATATCAGTCATCACATCGTGCAAGCTAAAGGTATTGTATCTGCTGCTGGGTGAAACTTTACCCATGTAATAATCACAAAATACTTACTTTCCTGGTTTTGATTAGTTCTTTAGTTTATATCCATAAATAATTGATTCCAACTTGCAATCTATCAGTTTTTTAACAAAACATATGACTCGGTTTTTTGAGTTATCTCACTCAACATTCATTTTTGTTTTTTAAAAAGGAGGCAGTATGCCTAACAGATTTCTTCGTCGACGTTATATTTTACCGAATTCATTACAATTTACAGAAAAACATCCACTAGAACAGTATACATACCATAAATTGAGATTTCTTTCAGAGCCAGTTTGTGTGAGTTATGATGCGAAAAAGGAGATTATTGAATGGCACTGTCCTTGGATACGCAGAGGTGTACTTCACTTTTGTATGGAATACACTGAAAAACAGTTTGTTTTAGACAAATTGTATACCAATACTACAAGAGTATTTTATTTAGAAAATATGTGTAAGTTGACAAATTTTAAATTTACTGGGTAAACACTTATCTGGACACTTTTTGTTCAATCTTTGACCGAAATTTTTTAATCATTGTGAGAAAATATGTTTTGAGGGTTCCCGATCCATCAGTTGAAACTGATATCATTTCTTGCCGAAATCAACTGTCTCTGTTAATCCTATAAATATTCGATAAGAAACTAAAACCACTGGTACTAATATCATGAAGTAGTGATGTATATTTACAGTATATTTAAATGTTAAGGTATACTTTTTCGTGCCTTTCGAAGTTGTATCTATTTTTTGTAGAGCATTATTATTATTATTATCAATACTATAAATAGCATTCCTTAGTGAATTCTTAGTTAGCTCAGAAACGATTGTTTACTTTTTCCGGTAAACTTTAAGTTAAAGATTTTGATTTTCAGCGTCCGATGCATACATATCCTACTGCTAACATTTGTATATTAGAACACCATTCATTCTATCGGAAGTATTACATAGAAAATTTAAACATATCATTATTAGATGTGGTAGACAGACGAAACACGTCACGAAAATGATAATGGTAGTTGTATGCAGAAAGTACAAGACAAAAAGACAGTGAATAAAATGAGTAACAAGATGATTCATTACAATTAGAACTGTAAGTAAGTTTTTTTTAAATTGACCAGTTACTTATGGTCATGATGTCGTTCATTCATATGATTCTATTCGCCGAGAACTATGTATATGAATGAATAACTGCTCAAATGGTAAGTTTCCACTGTTTTTTAGTGATGGTGATGGAGGGAGCTGTATGTGAGTGAAAATAAAGTTGATTATTCTGTCAAGATCTCGAAAATAATCAGCAGAAGTTTAGGAGGAAAAAATGAAAAATACAATAGAACGCGGGGATATTGAGAAAAATGTATATTTGCATATGAATGTGATAGGGGATTGTATTTGTAAGAAATCTTGCAGCAGAGAAAAGCAGAACCACATTTTCCGCAAGAATAGATAAAATTTATACCCCCCCCCCCACGTAATATGATAAAAGGAAACATTATTGTTTATTTTAATTTGTACATAACTAATTTTTATTAGTTTTGTAACATTGATTGCCTACTGAAGTAATAATTTCAGTAATTATACAGAATAGAATACACATTCAAAATTAACAGGCTAAAAGTTGATTAAATAGAATTCAAAAATGAGAAAGAATTGAGACAGGAAAATCTCTTTCTTCGATGTATTCACCAGAAGTAATAATAATCTGGTGATAAATCTTCAGAACTGATTGCAAAGTTAGTTCTATTAATGTTATCCAGACTTAATACGTGAAATATTTTTAAACTAAACCACAAAGTTCACACAACAAAACGACGAATGAAGACTAAAAATGGCTGGCCAGTTATTGCCTTCTTGTGAAATTGAAGTATACACGATGCTTAATGCTATCGGTGCAAAGATATTCTTAAATGAAATGCATACGAATATTGGTAACGCATTTGGATGACTATAATTGCATCGCTATACAAACTGCCTGTTAAATCATTCATTATAGTGAATGCAACACAAATAAGATATAAAATCAAACGGTGGATAACTGTTTACTTGAAGTTAACATTATGCACTGAAACAGAAGTAAAAATGAGTGGAAACAAACAAATTATAACTGCAATACTCCTACTATCAATATTAATAATAACAATAATAATAACAACAACAGGGTGCCAAAGCAATTCAAAAAATTCTCTGTAGATGTAACCACAATTTCAGTAATCATCTTGTAACAGCAGAAGGCAAGACAAGGAAGGCAAGAAATATATTTTCAAGTGATCGAACCGCTTTTTATAGCTATACAGTGTATGTTCTTTAACTAATCACTGAACACGGAATATACACACTGGATCATAGGAATTATTAAAAAGACGGTTGCAGAGAAGAAAATTATCTCTTCGACGAAGTCATCAACTGCACTGTACATTCGTGTATTTATTATAAATGGGTGGGAAAGTTCCAGAATAATTTCTGGTCAAGGGTCAAATTAATAAAATTACAATTAGTGATTAAAATGCCATAATAAACAGGGGGATGGATAAAAAACTCAAACAAAGTAGCATCATAATTACTGAGAAGATTGACATATTGTGCAATCAGGGGTTAGAAATGTAGAAGTAAAAAAATAGACAAGATGTTTGGATAAAAAAATCTAGTGGAATCATAACTGATGCGACGAATAATTATTTATGTAATTAGGGATTAAATATATAGAAATAATAAAGTAACATGAATAAACAGGAAGTTTGGATAAGAAAGGCGATGGGATGGTCATTACTAAAAGAATTGCCTGTTTATGATGGCCATGGCAGAGAAAAGGGTTGTACGTGTTTCCAAACATCCTGTCTATTTTTTTACTTCTACATTTCTAACCCCTGATTGCACAATATGTCAATCTTCTCAGTAATTATGATGCTACTTTGTTTGAGTTTTTTATCCATCCCCCTGTTTATTATGGCATTTTAATCACTAATTGTAATTTTATTAATTTGACCCTTGACCAGAAATTATTCTGGAACTTTCCCACCCATTTATAATAAATACACGAATGTACAGTGCAGTTGATGACTTTGTCGAAAAGAAAATTTGCTTCACTTCAACTGTCTTTTTTTAATAATCACTGAGCGTGTGATTTTGTTCAAATACATATTTTATTCTGTCGCTAACGCAGCATCGAATTGTGGGAATACATGAGAGTAATATTCCGTTGAAAAGCATTGTCTGTAAAACACCACCACAATCTAAGGAGTGTACTACATAATGAGGAACTGAAACCTCCTTTGATTTACATGGATTTACTTTACAGGGGGGCCCTAAAGAAAAATTATAGCAGTAATGTCAGCACTTATAAGTTTGAGAAATATGGAACATTTAGATGATCTACACTGATCTTTAGATAATTAAGCAAGAAGTTGGTAACGAGTGCACTGGAGAATGAACAGTTACATACACTCAACATAACTAGCTCCACAAGAATATTCAAAACGTTAGGTAAACTCAAACTGCAGAAACCAATGCAATGCATATGCTTAACCCTAGAATTTCCATACAGCAGAAATTTTATCAGTCACTGAACTTGCTATGTACCTGATTTGTCTGAACGACTTTTCTGTTATTCATTTCGCTCGCATTACCAACCATTACATTTCCAGTCCTTATAACACTGATGTCGGCTTTCAATTCCATTTAGACTCTACTCAGTCTTACGAAGTATTTTACGTCACTCAAATTACCTACTTAATTTCACTATAGTCTCTACGGGATTAATGTCTCAATATTATGTAATTTTCTTTGAGATCTCTTGAATGTTCCATTATAGATAAGATTTTATTTTGATAAGTCACACAGTGTTGTACAGTGTCATAATCATACCAACTTGATATGATTATGAGCAATAGTTTGTGCTCGAAACGCCATCAGTTCATATAAGTGTACAACACTGTGTGATTTATCAAATAAAATCTTATCTATAATGGAGTTATACTCTACCACAGTGCCCAAGTTTTATACTTATATCTCTTGAACGTTGTCTAGAACTTGAGATTTTAGTGACGCATCTCTGTGAACATCCCTTTCGCTTCCGTAGTAATGCATCATGTATACGACTGAACAGCTTGAAGATGATATCTCTAATTTAAATGCTTCTTTGTGGATGTGCGATAGATTGATAACGTGTTATTTTACAATGCGATTTTTTTTGAGTAAATGAAGGTTATTCTGATCTTAGGCTGTCTGCGGAAAGCACTGGTGTGTGATTACTCCGGACGGAGTTTCCGACCCCACCCTGATGGTTATTCTTCCATATCGAGAGTGATGGATAGAATCCTCTTGGTGCTAAAAGTATTCATTTTTGTCATTAACTTAGCCTTATATTTTAATTATTGATTCTCAGAAGTTAGCCGCATGGTAATATCTTAATCCATAACAGTCCCAATTATTTCCCTCAACTAGAACTAATTGTACGTAGTCTCGAAAATAACGCAGAGAAAGATTTTTCTGTCCTTAAAGCCATGAAGTTTTTACTTAATTCTGCTTTAATTTGAAATTCAAACAATTTTTCTTCTCTTTATTTACTTATTTTCGAAGATCAAGTATTTGCGCGCTTGAAACCGTCAAAAATGTATTTTCATCACGGAGAAAAAATTCATTGTAAATTAAATAAAAATGTTACTGTTCATGTGGATGTAATTATGCTGTTTAAAGTTTACCCCGAGGGCTTGCACCCAGAGAGATATTATACTGAATGGGTAACTTTCGATCAAACTTTTCCCACTGGCGTTTACATTATTCGTTGTACAGTTATCGTAGAGTACATGGAACCATTGTCGACAGAATCTCGTATTATATTAATAAGTAAGTAGACCAGGAATAAAACCTGTTCTGGAATATGATGAGTCTTCTTTTCAATAGCACACAGAGTATTGGTTCATAGGAACAAATTAATGAAAGCAAACAAATTTTAACATGCTTCACTAGTCAGTAACGAAAATGATTGAGTGAGCTTGGTGGGACACCAAGTGAAATTTAGCATGGTTATAAACATTATAAACCATTGACTGTGCATAGAAATTAGATAGCACTAAATCTGATAAAATTGCCAACTAAGAACGTTAAATATTCGGAAAAAGAATATAACCACGAAGAGGAACTAAAGAAGACAAACGAGCTAAGATTAGTAGACTTCAATTACAATGATTAGGAGCTAGTGAGGCGAAGAATTAAATAACTTGGCATCCAGTAAAACAGAATGGTTAGGCTTATCCTATCTTGTTGGGTTCAGTTCACAATCCTCTAAATGTTTTTGATTTTGCAAACTAGAGTCTGTTGATTACTTTAAAATGTATCTAATATCATGTATTTAGTAAATAACTAGAGATGAAACTATTTGTGAATGTTTAAGAATTATTTAAGAAGACAACTGGAAGCTAGGATTCTCGCTTTCATGTGAACCAGTTAAGGATAGATAACCAACTCTACTGCTACAATTTCGTTTACATGTATCTTTGGCTTCTTTTTGATTGAGACAACCGCAGCTATCAACGTAACAGTCTAATTAAAAAGCTCTGTATGCCGTTTCACTTTAATTCATCTGATGTGTAATAGTGACAGTCAATAAATTCACTCCAATGAACTAGGAACAATATGTTTGTAACAACCACAAAAATATGATTACATTTGATTGGTTAAATAAACCCAAGTTTAATAACACTTTGATTTAGGTCATCCAGAGCTTTCAACTTCGACATGATATGCTACCAAATATAAGACCTGATTAGAAATAGCGATAATTGGACTGTTCAAGACACGACGATAGATACTGGCTGCGACAGTTAAGGATCAATCTATTGCTAACTCTTTGATACCCGTTCTTCGCTGAAATTCAGTTATGAAAATATTTTAATTCTGTTATTCTTTTCTCTGTCTTAAGACACTTAATGAACCTTGATTTAGGTATCTTTATTTATTTGACGCCCTTCCTTTATTGTCTCCTAGTTGATGTTAGGTAGAGCACCATGCACTACTACTTAGGAAATACCACAGATTAAAAGTTAACAACGTCTGATTAGTTGTATATCGGACTCTTCTTTTGAATGCATTCGAAGTTCATCCATGTTATTATCTGTAACTTTTTTTGAGTCACATTTTTATTTCAGACAGTAAACGATGGTTTTCCCCTCCTGAGATTACACGATTTCTTGAATTTTTTGACTTTTGTATTGATGCTTAGCATTTTTCATACTTTTCATCTTCCTACTTGGTTAACAGTCATATTTTACTACTTTTTAGACAAATAATTTTACTTTAAAGTTAATCTTCATTAATTATTCAGTTATTGTTATTACCTTTTTATGTATCCATATAACTGAAGGCCAACCAACAAACGTTGGATTTTATAAATCATTACATGGCTATCGTTGTATTCATAATGGAATGCCTATTGAAAATGTTAAATACAATATCAGTATTTTGAATGCTACATTCGACTTTGAAATCAGTAATGACACTGTAGTTATTGATGAATACACTCTCCTAGGTGATTATGTTGCGAAGTGTTCAGCACTTGTCAGTCATCCATTCAATAAAACATATAATCTTAGTCGTATAGAAGTAATACAAATAAAAGGTAAGTTGATGTATTCTTGAAGTGTTATTTGTTATATACTGTGAGCTGTGCCAATCATTATTCAACTTTGCTTGCGTGTGAAATTATTAATTACAATAGGTATCGTGTGGTTTAGTTGATGAATATTTACTGCAAGAAAAAAATTTTTGTTCCTCGATAAGATGACGTTTTGATAAGCATTAATACTTTTAACAAAAGTGCATACAGTTGTATGGTATAATAAGACTACAAGAATTTCGAAGGTGATTATACTGTCAAAGATTGATTACTTCTAACACATCTGATACTTTTTCGGTAGAGAGTTCACATTCCACTCTCTGTTTAATTGAAACCTTACTAGTCAAATGAATTGCTTATTTAATTCACTTTGGACCTTAATGTTGATCGATGGGACCTCAGTGTTCCAACTCTGCTGATATGTTGGCTCCATGTGCGTATGCTTCCACAGTGTCCAAGGATTTAAATAAGACGTAATCAGTATTTGCAAAATAACAAAGAAGTAACATTTGTTTTTCAGTATCTCTCTGTGATATACAAGCTGATGCGCTTTGAGTCTAAAACATCAGTGGATTGTAGGTCGAATGAGTTTTTAACTTGAAGTAATTTGGTAGATAATGACCAGCAGATGAATCCAGGTTGCGCATTTCTTCTTATTTGGGACTCGTAACCTGGGTATGCCTGTATTCTGCAGTGAGTGGTAGTGTCCCAACTGAGGCTGGAATCCAGTACCCATCTTTTCAGACGCTAAGATATTATCCACTAAACCACAAAGGCATATTTGCATATTTCACTGAATTAATCTCCCGGATGATTCTGTTAAGAAGAATGTTGTTAACAAAGTCATTCCCTTGTAGGGCTCATTAAATTACTATGGAATTTACTCGTTATTTATACTTACTAAGTAATACTATGCAAATTTGTATTACTCCAAGAAACCTCCCAATACTAAAACTTTATAAAGTTAGATTGTACGTTGTACGCGGGTTCTTTACTCAACACATATAATACTTTTACTCAGTTACAGATTTTTAGGATTTTAAAGATGTTGGTAACATGGTTACTCAGCGGAATAAGATAGAAACACCTAACTCCTATTATTTTTAAAAAATGGTTTTATTGTCTACTTTTAAGGTGATTACTGGAATGAAAATAACAATACTCTTCTTAATCAAGATTATATGTTTGTCCGAATACTTCTCCCTCTGTTGTGGACAGTCACATCTTTATCTATCAGCGCATTTCTAATAAGCCAAGCTACGGAAGATACTAATGAGGGTATAAAGTATGAATACACTGAAAAACAGGTAATTTTTTACGTTAATCTCTTAAATTCATATATGTTAGATTATTAATCATAGGTCAAGAAAAATTCAAATGCATATTTTCACATTCTTTCATCACAACTCTGTAGGATGCAACGACTCCAACAAGTGGAACAGTTTTGCGTATAAATCCAAAGTACCTTCATGCTTAATGAAAAGGCTTCACCACACTTTTCCAATCTGTTCATATACCATTGATATTATTAATCGGAATGTAATGTCAATGAAAAATTTTATGGAATGAGTAGTTAAATGTTAGTCACAAGTAATACACCAGGGTCAATTGCGATGGATACGCATCTAGCCAGTTCATTTCACATAAGAAGGCGTGAAATTTGATTTTCTATCTCTAGCTAACGCCTAACAAGAAAAAAATTATAGCTTTCAAGGGGAATTAATTTAAGTCATATTAGTATATGGGTTTATTCAACTGTTAGAACTAAATCAAATGAAGAAGTTTCTAAGTAACACGGTCTTTTACAGATTGACGGGAAATTCACTTTCCTGTATGTGATTTTACAATGAAGATATGCACTTTTTTATAATTCCCTGTGTCTAAAAACAATTTTTGCATTTGGTGAGACATGCTGCATTCACTAACTGATTCAGAAGGACGAAATCTTGTTTCTCAATATATATATATATATAATCATCAGATATGAACTACAGTTGCAATCAGTTTATCAAGAATTCTGCGGAAAAGACTTTGAGATCAGCTAAAAAACATCTGAAAACCAAGGTGTATTAGATAACTGTCCCATTAAACTTTGAGGCTCTCCGGTTATTTGCATTCATGATCCACACGGGATGGAGTCCAGGACAGTCACATTTTAAAACAGGCCGTCCGAATGGAATCTAATGTATAATATTTTTCAACTTCTGTCAACATAATCTGTCAGTGTGAATAAGTAGGTTAACAGATATCTACACTGACAAATAATTAAAAAAAAACGAAGAGACATTCAGCCATGAAAACATATAGACACAGAAATAACTGCCTTCATGAGTTAGAGGGAAAGTAGCATAAACAACGGATCTTTCCTCTTAATGCCAACTGTTAGAGTTTCCCCACGAACCAATATCAGTTACAGATATCATTGAAAACCAGGGAGAACTGGACAGCTTTTTCATCCTATTTTGGAATTCCTCAGAAGTGCTCATACACGAAACCACTAAGGAACAAACCCGGGACCTCTTAATCTCAATGACAATTTAACTGCTACATATTCTTACTCGAAATTATTTGAAATTGTGGGTTTAGAATGCCAACAGACTTTGTTAGAAATCACAAAGTCATAAATCATGTGAATAAGTGACGTCATACACACAAAAAGGATTCCGTTTTGGTTTTAAGTATTCCTCAGTATTCTGTATGCAAGATTATAAGTGATTCAGAATTTAGACACAATTTTATCAATATATTTGAATAGCCTGATAAAATACCGATTGCTTTCAGCCGAGGAATATTATTTTTCCTGAGAAGTGTTGCATTTCTTTTCGGGTTTCTTGTATCTTTTTTTAATGGTGTACTGATGTGTTGGAGGCTTACACTGCAGATGTTGTTTTGTTTCCTCCTTCTTTTGCAACAACTTCTATGCAATCTCTTATCTTGGAATGAAAAATATCACCAATAAAAAATACATTCAGATACACGAATTTCTAGAAATTAATCATTTGATCAATTCAGACAAAGAATATCAAGAAATTGTTCATCAAGCGATTTATCGGTTCGATGAATTCCTTCATTTAATAAGAACAGTAAAAAGAATAGAAGAGAAAAAGAGGGAGTCAAGGAGTACATACAGAGAAGGATTATCATATTTGTCAAGTCGATTAAATGGTGACAGGCTATTTAACGGTGAAGGCAGTGATTATATGAAGGTCAACAGTAAAATTGATAACAACGTAATCAATGAACAAGGATTTCATAAAATGTTATCTAGAAAGCCTTCTATTCTCCTGGAGGGTACAAATCCACTACAACAGCGTAAATTTTCAAAGTTTATCGGCATAGTTTTACCGACGGATACTGTGACTGAGGAGACAGACGACACTTTTTAAGGTTAAAAGGTTAGAAATGCTTGTCAGTTACATAGCATTGGAAGGTGAGTATCTGGATTTTTTATAAATAGTGTTCACGCGTTAGCTTGTAATAAAGAAAAACAAATATCTGTGTTGAAGATAAAGGATAAAATAATTCAAGATTTATTCATATTTAGTGGTGAACAGAGTTTCTTTTCTCAGGAAGTGTTGTTTGACTAATTTAGAAGTTCTTGTCATAATCCTAAGATCAAGTACTAGTCTATATAGTAAATAAAGCTGTTTTGTATAAAAAGAGAATTCTTTATTTTTCACTTTTAAGTGGTGCATACTCAACTAGTGACAAGAAAGTAATCATTAGGTACTCATTAGCTAGGCTGCTAACTTTCTTAAATGCAAACAGCAACAATTCTGAAGCTTGTTCCACATTCAATAATTTAAATAACAGTTATTCCGCATTTTAAACGCTTACAACGAAGAGACTATACGATTGATAATGATATCTGAAGGCCGAAACGAAGTGAAGTTGGCGGGAACATCAGGTTAAAGATACACAATGAAAGCATGAAATAAAAAATAGGTTGTTCTAGTGATTAAAGTCATTTTCAGTCGGTATGAAAATAGATAATGAGTGCCGAAATCCGGTTATTGGAAGCATAAAGTTGCTAAACGGGAAAATGGTAAAGACTGGTGGAAGGAACAGCGATACAACTACTGAGTGAATAACTGGATATGAATTAATTTTAACATACAACGGGAAGAAACTTTTTATTCATATTTTTGTAACGTTTTGCTTAGTTTTTCAGAGTTTTTCGCAGGTAACAGCTGCATATTCTCTATGGTATTTTTCAAAGTCAACCGCATTAAGTTGAATGTATTCGTATTTTAGAATTTTAAACATTGTAGTTAAAAACTAAAGTTCATGGTTAAGATTCACTGATTGTTGAGCACTATACATTGTGGATGAACTATGTGGTTAATAAACTGGATACACAAAATGACACAATTTGCTAACACGAAAATGGATATGGATTAGTTACTCTAACACAATGTTTTCTAGTAATTAAGAGGAAAGGGAATGATGAAAGTTAAACAAAGGGATTTACTTCAGACTGACAGACTGAGTGAAAGAGCTTCACACACAGCACAGAGTCTGCAGAGAATTAAAATTTCTCATAAGTTACAGAGGTTGTGACAAAAAGTTAGTAAATTTTGTGAACATTTTTAAGCATTTTATTATAAACTGATACATTTGGTAGTAATTTGTAAGGCGAAATTATAGGATGCGTCACTGTGGATGCCACTGACAGCTGCTGGTAAGGTTCTAATAATAGTGTCTATGGGAATAATTGAATGACCTTGATCAAAGATTACTGGAATTACCGCCTCTTCACTTAGTGTGAAGTAATTACTGGTCAGGTGGAAAAAAGGCATCTAACTAATCAATATCCCCATTTATTATTATATTATTGTTTCCTTTAGTTCCTAGAGGAACATAGGGCTTCAGCTGCACGTCTCCATTGCGTTCGGTTCTCTGCCAACATTTTCACCTAGTTCCCGTCTGACCACATGCTTTCATCTCCTCTTCACATGACCTACTCTAAGTCACCCTTGGACGACCGACTCGCCGCTTCCCGTTCGGGTTCCACTCGACGGCCTGTCTAGTGATGTCACTTGATGGTTTCCTCAGAGTATGGCCGATCCACCGCCATTTCTTCCTGCTTATTTGTCGCAAAATCTGTTCCTGGTTGGTTTTAGTTAGCCCAGAATGTCAAGATCATACCCATCGCAGTTATTTGTTAGTTACACTTATAGAAGTACTAGTCTTTCGACTAGATATTGATGGCGGTTGCTCATAATCTGTCAGCCAGGTTAACGTATATTATTTCATTGAAATAATTTACAATCAAAATCAAAATGTAACTTTTAAATTTAAATTAAATGTCTGAAAAACAGGTTAAGTTACTTCTACTGCAATTGAATCCTAATGTGTCACAGCTAATTCACAGTTTAACTCAACTTTCATTTGATCCAATGCACCTGCAAAGCCTTTTGACTCACCTTAGCATTTATTCCATTGTGGGAAGGTTTCAACAAAGGTTGGAGGTTATTCACAGATAAAATCTGAGTGGAAATTGGCTACATAGTTGTTGAAAGAATCATAGTGAGAGCAAATCCTTGAGTGTGTATCTACTATAAGTAACAAACAAATGTCCATATTTCTGATAGGTAGGAGGATGTCTGCGAGTCATTTGGAAGTAGCATGACATGAGGAATTTGTCGTATTCACGATTGGACTTAGTGGCACGTTCTCCTTGTGAACTTTCAACAGACCATATAAACGAGGAATCACAGAATCAGAGGGTCGTATTTGCTGAAATAATTCAGAGCTGATAATCGATTCGTTCTTCATCTTCAGCATTTGTGTTATCTTTCCTTCAGTATGTTCCGTTTGGTCTTCATGGTTACTTTCTTTTGAAAATTTGTTTTCATCTGACATGACAGAATTATTTGAGCAAATTCGACCCTCTGATTCTGTGATTCCTCGTTTATATGGCCAAATGACTCGCAGACATCCTTCTACCTATCAGAAATAATCTCTGCAAGCATAGTGATTCAGATTCATTTGAAGTTGTGGATTCAGTAAGTGATACAAGTGTATCCGGGACGAAAATGATATCCATGGATGTTACGTCCGTTTTCACCAAATGTCGATATTGTCTGATAAACTGTAGTTAAAATTGAAATAGGAGCATTGCTGTTCTCTTTTAAGGCATCTACTGTGAACCAACTGCAGACCGTTACAAAGTTGGCTGTTAAAACGTTTATGAAGCAGTTTTAATTTACGATAGTAATCTGTAAAATCGACAAAACCTAAAATTCACAGTAGTCCTCAAGTTTCTATAGGCTCTCTAACCTGAAAAAACACCTAACAATGGTTTGATTCTGCAGGTTACTAACTAATATTCTTGCTAGAAAACAAACCATTTGGAACAGATAGAAAGTAACAATGCTGTTGTGAAGTAACATTAGAATCAGTAGAAAAATTGTCTCAAGTACCTGATGAGCCGTCAGCTATGTCGAAAAATCTAACAGGAGCCAACTGAACTAAAGAGATGACCACAGTCAACATACTTTGCTGTGGTAAACGCTTCACTTCTTCAATGTAGAAGTATAATTCTAAATTAGATATGTCTAATCAACATAATATACACTGATACAGTAATAATAACTAGATGATTTTTCTAGTAAAACTTATAGCTCGTATTTATATCAGTCATCGATACGGTTATGAGAAACAAATACCACTTCTTCATCGACTCCAATTAAGAATGGACTAGTGTAACAACAGAAGACAAGGGCCAGGCAACAGATCGTTTTATTATGAAAATCAACACGTATTTATACATCTTTCAACTACATTATTATAGACAAGCGCAGTCATCTGATTGGTTGTTTAGGTAGACAAACGCAGGCTTCTGATTGGTTGTTTCGGGATTCCTTGACAAACAGAGTTCTCTCTGCGAATCATATTCTGCCACGTTAACTTTGCTGTGATTGGTTGTTGACTCAGCCTTGTTCACGGCCCATATTAGTGACCTAGACCTTAACGTAGATTAGTGCCAACCAATCGGCTAGCAGCCTGCTCTCACCACACTCGTCCCCCCGTCAAATATGTGCGACTGAAGTCGGCTTGATCTACTTGGTGCAGGCTTCATCGTTGGCTTGTTTCGCTGTATCCATTTCTGGAGCTCGCTGACGTTCACGCGCCTCTCATTGTTCGCCATTGCGACTGTGTCTGCGTAACCCCATCTCGAAGTGACCATATATGGTCCTTCCCACTTTGGAAACTGTTTGCCTGACCCTGTCGAACATTCGTCCATACTTCGGCCCACACCTTCATATGCTGCTTTCGCCCGACCTCCCAGCAGCGTCTCAAGTAGCAGCTCCATCGCTGACAGATCTTGAACGCCACTCAACTGCGCAGAAGCCTTGAAGTCCTGCCCGAAGATCCATATGTCTCCATCAAAAACTGCAGGGTATAGGCTTTTCATTTGTCGGTAGGCAGCGACACCAAATGTAACAACAGAAGACAAGGGCCAGGCAACAGATCGTTTTATTATGAAAATCAACACGTATTTATACATCTTTCAACTACATTATTATAGACAAGCGCAGTCATCTGATTGGTTGTTTAGGTAGACAAACGCAGGCTTCTGATTGGTTGTTTCGGGATTCCTTGACAAATAGAGTTCTCTCTGCGAATCATATTCTGCCACGTTAACTTTGCTGTGATTGGTTGTTGACTCAGCCTTGTTCACGGCCCATATTAGTGACCTAGACCTTAACGTAGATTAGTGCCAACCAATCGGCTAGCAGCCTGCTCTCACCACACTAGGACTGACATTTTTAAATAAAGTAAAGGCTAGAATCTGGTAGAAAAAAGAAAGACAGACTACATCCCGAAATAGAGACCGAAAACAGGTTGAGAAACAGATGAATGATTAAACAGACATCATGAAATTGGTGAAATCAAAGGATATAGAGAGTTAACGAAAGATAATCACTATAGGCAACCACAGTAGATTCAGATTCAGATTTATTGGTTGAGGATAGAAGGCTTGCAGACTATGTTAATCCTTTTCTAGTGTGGTGAGAGCAGGCTGCTAGCCGATTGGTTGGCACTAATCTACGTTAAGGTCTAGGTCACTAATATGGGCCGTGAACAAGGCTGAGTCAACAACCAATCACAGCAAAGTTAACGTGGCAGAATATGATTCGCAGAGAGAACTCTATTTGTCAAGGAATCCCGAAACAACCAATCAGAAGCCTGCGTTTGTCTACCTAAACAACCAATCAGATGACTGCGCTTGTCTATAATAATGTAGTTGAAAGATGTATAAATACGTGTTGATTTTCATAATAAAACGATCTGTTGCCTGGCCCTTGTCTTCTGTTGTTACATTTGGTGTCGCTGCCTACCGACAAATGAAAAGCCTATACCCTGCAGTTTTTGATGGAGACATATGGATCTTCGGGCAGGACTTCAAGGCTTCTGCGCAGTTGAGTGGCGT